CCTCTTCAACCAGATCGCCTGAAACACCACGGAGAACGTGCCCCTCTTCAACCAGATCGCCTGAAACACCACGGAGAACGTGCCCCTCTTCAACCAGATCGCCTGAAACACCACGGAGAACGTGCCCCTCTTCAACCAGATCACCTGAAACTCTCCTGCCCCTACTTGACATATACTACAGCTTTTAATGAGTTCTACCTGCAATCCGTTCAGCGCAGAGGTGTGGATGTGCGTCACAAGGCTGACAAATGTTTGCCCTTTATTTTCTCCCCAGTGGGACTGAAAAAAAGCCTGATTAATTAAAACTAGGTGTCCACAATAAATAAAAGTGCCCAGGCAAGTACGTAACCACTGAACACGATCTTCTCCTTAAACGTACATACAAATAATAATTATGAAAAAATAAGTAGTATTAAAAATGCTATTCACTAATGACCAAGAGTTACACAGCTGCTCTCTAGCTGTAAAATGTAGAATATTTCCAGTTCTTTTTTGTGTAATGGATCTGCGACTTTAGCGACGGGAGAAAAGAGGGAAGCGAGGGAACATGCTGAGGAGAAGCGTGGTCCATTCACCATTGTGCAGGGTACTTCCTTGCTGCTAAATTCATTGTTCGCACAGGGAAGCATCAGCCAGCAACATCCCGATTCTCTCCTGTTGGCCAACAAACTGGCCGCTTAACTGATTTTTAATCTCCTCCATGAAGGGTTCTACCTAAAATGGTGGACCCACTCCAGGCAGAGAGTGAAGGGGGCCCGCTGTTGTTTAACTGGCACAGATCAGAAGCAGGCGTTGGCTGTCACATGACTGGCCGCAGTTCAGCTGTGCCCTGCTAATGACCGAACCGACCGCAAGCACGGAGGACTGCAAGGTGAGACCACATCCTCGCCCTTCCAAAATATATACACCAGCAGCTTCATTCGTTTCCTTCATTCATGAAACCACAGCACGGCACACGGCACTTTCAACTCCACATTACAGCACTCCTGCTTTCTGCCATTTCTTACTAAAAATAGCCCCCCATAAACAAACAGACAAACACACACTTGGAGCTCACACATGTGCAGTGGCCACACCTGGACTGCACCTGCTCCCCCAGACGCTGCTTTGATGTGGAGATGAACATGCCCCCCCCCCCGCCACGCCGGGCTTAACCAGCCGAGGCCCCGGGGGCCGTCCTCGGTCACGCTGGCTCAGCTTGCAGATGACCCTGGTGGCCAGGCTCCCGGGGCGATCTAGGCCGGCCAGGAATACTGGGCTGGGCTTTGTCCCCCCGTCTGGGCCTCGGTGGGCAGCATATGGCTCCGCACACAGCTAATTGCCCCCCTTACCCCAGGCTAACCAGCAGACCTATTTGTAAAGCCTGCATGGCACTGGGGGCCGCCAATGTAACTTCCTTTAACCAGAACCTTGATTAAAGAGCTGTCACTCACAGTGCCCTGGAGCGCCAATCGGAAGCCTCTCGCTGCTGGCCCTCCAATGCCCCCCCCCCCCGCCCCCCGAAATGTCACACAAAGGACTAACAATCGATGTCTGAAAGGTACATGGTGAGCCTGAGATTTGGACAATGACACCGTAAACTTAAACCCATTTGGCAGCTCCGACCAAACATCCCTTTGAGGCACAATGCCGCCACCCCCCCATCGTGCAGCTCCACACCCATTAGGAGTGGGGTCCAAACACAGGTCCGGAAACCTGGGGGGGTTTCAGCCCAAAAGCAAGCCCGGCAGACAGAGACGAGGACGCTCTAAGCTGTCGGCCAGTCCCCACCTCGAGCGCTGGAGGGCTTTCCGCCACGTGCAGAGCACTTCCAAAGGTAAACCACAAGAACGCCAACGACAGTCCCTCCTGCTGTGCTTCTGCTCCTCCTGATAAGACGTGTCAGATGCTGAGGCCTGCTACCAGCAGATCCCCACCCCAACTCCTGCAGTCAAAAGTCTGCAACACGGACTTCCATGCCCCACAGCCACAGGCTTAGGTCTTAAAAGAAACAATATTTTACACCAACAAACGTGAGCCTTCCAACACCACATGGAAAAAGGGCATTTAAATTCTTAAAATAGAGATCAGGTTTCCAAAACCTGGGTCAAAAATCTTAAATTCTGTGACTGCTGGCAGTCAGTCGCTCCTTTATTCCACTCATCTGCTGATTTTTCTTTCTGATTATTTGTCTTTCTGCCATTTTCATTTCTTAGGGCTTTAGTAATCAAATCCTCAATTAACTCACGGGATATTAAACAGGAAGGTCAACACCTTAAGTAAACCTGCTCCCTTCCAAAATCCCTCCAGAAAATGTGAAAATATCCCACAGCGCTCTGTATTTATTAGACCTGGATGGGAAAATCCAATGGTGAACAAGGCCCTTTACACATCACCAGCTCCAGAAAGGCAAACAGGAATCAGGAGCCTTTACTAGAAACTTTGAGCCTACAAGAAACATTTGCATGACGTCCCAGTTATGCCAAAACATTCGCACAAGCCAGCGTCAGGTTTTTACTAGAGCCATCTGATCTGAATTCTATTCAGCTGTTCACTAAAAAAAAAAAAAGAAGTAAGAACATATAGTTGATAATTTATGGGGTATTCACCGACGGCTCTGGATCATAACAGCATAAACGTAGACTAGCTCCAGGCACATGCTATCAATTTCCCTCTCATTCTCATCTGCAACACAAGCCTGGAAATACTTAATATTAAAAAGATCAAAGTGATTCTTTTTGTGGTGCAGGAACAAAGGGGAATGAGAATGGGGCACCAAGGACACCCGTCAGGCCGAAACAGAGCCTTGTTACTGAGCGACAGTCCCACACCGGAAGATTCCGGCTGCGGCTCAGATCACAGAGGCTGGTCAGAGACTTACGCAGGTGATTGGATCGTAAACCGCCTGACTACCAACTTCAACACCGCCAAAGAAGACTTGAAAACACATGGAAAAAGTTTTCTAAACAAAATAAAGAGAGTATTGACGACAAGAATTTTTCTGAAAATGGGAGTGGGTCTGCTCTGATTATCTGTGAGCTCGCGCTGCCGTATGCAAGCGATTTAGTGGGGGTCCGCATTCAGGCAGGGTCATTAACGCTGCTCTGGATCAGTCGGAACCAGCCGGTCACTGCACTCAGCCACTCCGCAGGTGCAGCAAGAAGCGCGCCTCGTGTCACACACAAGCGGGCAGGCGCGGCCGTGCACACCCACGTGCACACACAAGCATGCACCAGAACAGATCAGTTAAAAGCTTGTGGAGGAGCAGTGTTTAATAGAGGCCATTTCTGAGTCAGGCTCCCTGGAGATACACAAAGGCCCGAGTGATTGGATCCAGATGGAGCCACACCGATGGTGCTCATAGGAAACGCGAACCTTAACGGCCCCCTCTCCCCATAATCACTCCCAGACTTGTTATTATTTCCACGCCGTGCAGAAAGGGGGGGGGGGGGAACATTTTCATCTCAGTCTCAGTGTTGGGATAACTGGGTAATAAAATTACATTCAAAAGAAAGTCACAAAAACGTAAAATGCGGCTTTCTACAAGCTGGGGTTAATCTGCGGAAATTTGTAAAAATGCTAAGATTTCTTCTATATCTTAGTGATAAATAGCTGGAGGTTAGACATCTTGAATATGATCAGATTACATATTTTAGGTGATAATGCGAGACTGATATAGAACAGCTATATTCACACCTTTCAGTTGCCCCCACACGGCGATGAAGAGGGCGCTCGGTTGCTCCCTTTAAAAAGTTTGTAGAGAAGGCAGAAGGCTGGCCGGAGTGCTGTGCCGGGGCACGGAATGTTCTGACGCAGCAGATGTGCAGGCTCCCCAAACCCGGGGCGGGATACAAAACAGCCAGAACCATCTGGGGCTCGCAGAGTTCCAACCGCAAAGCCCCACACTGGCCCGGCAACTCCAAAGGCAGCAGCCGGGGCCAACCTAACGCAGGCAGGCAGGCGGGCGGGCAGACAGACACCAACACACACACACTCCGCACAGAAGGCGGCACACCTACCGATTTCCCGTTGCAGTAATACATCAAAGAATTATTGCCCATTCCAGGCACAGGGTAAGCGCAATACATGGCAGCTTCGCAGGCGATATTTATGACAGTGGCGTCTTGAGCTGGTCTAAGGTCTCAGGGCACAGTGACGATCCACAAGCTCTCTCACACGACATGCATCCACCCTGCTGAAAAGCGACTAATTCCTCCAGTCCTGGCCTCTACACATGGCCTTACTCAGAGGGAACTTATGCAAATGAGGACTGAACCATTCATGGCAGCACTGATAGGGGAGGCCGAGGGAGGAAGGGCGTGGGGGGGTTCATCTGCTGGGCTTGCTGCCCACCCCTCAGAAGCTTCATATGTGCTGATGGAAAGAATTTTAAAAAGCAAGCAACAGTAAGGGGGGGGGGCAGTTGGTGTTTTCTGTTACAGGCAAATGCATTATGCTTAATAAAGACAAACACAAATGTAACGTTAAACTGAATATTTTCTGCACAGAGCACCCCCAAGCCTGAAATAAAAACCACCAATGAATAAGCAGTGAATTATACATTAAATGTAATACACCATCATATAAAAAATACTTTCAACTGTTTAACGGATTCCCGCACAGAGGGTTTAATAATGCGCTGGTGAAACTTTTATTTTCGTTTTAATGAAATGAGACTGCAGGCTAGAGTCAGGGATGCAGGCAGTGTTTAGCTGTGCTACATTTTTGTGACAAAAGCCATCTGTCTCTGAGTTAGGCTTTCAAGCGCCGTATATTTTCCCAATTAGCCACTGGACATCAAACCCTACAGAACGGGGGTGTATGTATTTATGCATGTACGTTTTTCTTATGATGTCATACGGTTTGCACCGGCTGACATTTTGCCAGTCTGACTGGTTTGAATACTGCGTGTGATGGTAAACAGTATTTCTGTATGCTTACTCCGCCAGTTCCCCAGCTGGGCGCAGGAGGCAGAGGTTGACACACACACACACACACACACACACACACACACACACACACACACACACAGCTGTGTAACCCAGGCAGGGACAGCACTGGAGCTTCAGAAACACATACAGGGGGCTCATCCCAAGTCCCCGGCGGTGCGGCTGGGCAGGGCTGTGTTTGATGTGCTGGCGGCTGCCGTAAAACGCCGCTCGGCTCAGCGGCCGCCTTTCATAGCACAGAATGGGAGTTTCCTGGATGGAGTGCGGCCCGCGTTCTCAGAGACGGCACCCGCTACCCCGTCAGAAGATGAAAGCTCCTCAGCAGCAAAATGCACACTTTTTAAGGCCTTTCCTTCACAGCTAACATTATTTATTTCTTTCTGTTCTCAAAGGCTCTTTTAAAGTCTTCCAAACCATTGGTGTGCGTGCTGGTACCTTTTTAAATCTGGACCCAATTGCCTGATAAAAAAAAAAAGCCTTTTTGAAGAGTCTGAGTACAAATACAGAATGTCGCACTGATAAGAGACACACAAACACAAAAAACAACAAAAGGGGTGAGTATGAAAGCAGCGGGGCGGAAACAAACAGCAAACAGGATGAGGCATTTAAAAGGAATAAAGCTTAAATCACAACTTCAGTGTGGAAAGCAGGTTAACGTTTATCATACTGCCAGGCCCCGCAGCTATAACCGCGAAGGCACAAATGAAATATTTCCCCCTCTCAGAAAAAAAGCTGCTATTAATCATCATCATCTTTACAAAGACTGGGGCTTATCACAGGTGTGGCGACCGAACCCCCCTGCACTCTCAAGCAGTGGTACGCTCTCTGCTCCGCCTCCACACGTATTAGATATCCGGCACGCGAGGGGGGTAAGCACTCCCTCTGTTTTATCCGCCAAGGGCAGACGATTCATCAGAGGCCTGTGTCTCGCTCGGCCTGAAGCCGGGCCTGACCCATTGCGTGACGGGCAGCGGGCACGCCAATCCGCCCGGCTCCGCCCCGCCACCCACCTGTCGATCTGGCACATCCTCTAATCACATTACAGGCCCAGACTTCCCTGCCACTGACCCTGTTTAGGTGTCCACGCATCCAGACATGCACATGCACACACACACACACACACACACACGTAGGGTATACATATCCTTATGGGGACCGCTCATTCATTTCAATGGGNACAACCTTAACCCCTACCCTGCCCTAACCATAACCATAATTAACCTAACAAATTACAAGAGTTTTTGCATTTTTAGTTTTTTCATAGCAGTCACCGATTTTTATAAAATAGAAACTGGTCCCCATAAGGGAAAAAAAACAGATATTTATCACGTTATGGGGACATTATGTCCCCATAAGGATAGGTAAAACCGCTCGCACACACAGACACACATACACAGTGAGACTGGCCCAGCATTCAATCCCCTCATGCCCCTCATTACCCCAGGGCTTCGGAGACACTGCCTGTCTGTTACTGTTCTCCTCCCACAAACAGGAGTCTGTCTCGTTTGTGTGATTTGATTTCTGTCCATAACTTCCTCCCAGCTCCCAAAAGACGGCCGAAAGTCTTAACACAAGGGTTCATCTTGTTCATCATCTGACCCAGAACAGAGCTATGGAAATCTCACACACACACACACACACACACACACACACACCTTTTGATAAATCGTAATTTGGATAGCATGCCTTAGTAGCAGACTTGCATACTGGTGATCACTGAGGACCGCGGGCCAGGTCTGGAGCACAGCAAGGCCACATTCCGCGCCCAAGCTCCTGGCAGAGTCTGTGCGTGAATCACCGGTGACTAACTGTCAAATAGTTAAATGCGGGAAGCGCAAGGCCTTAACCCTTTTTGGGCCAGGGCGACAGCACCCCTAACACCGACATGCGTTGAGCGTGGCACCTTAACCCTTCCCAGCCTTGGGCGATGGCACCCCAAACACTGATACGCGTTAAGTGGGGCACCTTAACCCAGGGGTGTTAAACTCCAGTCCTGGGAGGCCGGAGCCCTGTGTAGTTTAGTTCTTTCCCTGTTCCACCACAAATGATTTAGCTTATGAGCTCTGTGGTAATTAGCACAAATGAGTTGAATCAGGTGTGTTAAATGAAGGTAAACCAAAAACTGTGCAGGGCTCCGGCCCTCCAGGACTGGAGTTTGACACCCCTGCCTTAACCCTTCACACCCTTGGGCGACGGCACCCCAAACACCGAGCGTAATGGGGTCAGGGGTCACCTTTGGGGGGACATGTTTTGCAGCATGATCCCACTGCCCGTTTTCTCCACACTGATAGGAGTCTAGTACCCGGCACATGTTCTGCAGGAAGTTCTTCGCAGTGGCGTGAGGACCTCGTTCATACAGTGGCCAGTGTGGCCAGTGTGGCCAGTGTGGCCAGTGTGGCCAGTGTGGCCAGTGTGGCCAGTGTGGCCAGTGTGGCCAGTGTGGCCAGTGTGGCCAGTGTGGCCAGTGTGGCCAGTGTGGCCAGTGTGGCCAGTGTGGCCAGTGTGGCCAGTGTGGCCAGTGTGGCCGCTTGCTTCAGTGAACACGCGCGTCACGCGGCTGATCCTGCCAGACTTAATCCTGTTTCAGAGCCACGCCACATGAGGTGTCATGGCAGCCTGCTTCTCCCTCTGCTTTCTGCACCACCCCCACCCCTTTACAAAGCTGTCAGTGATTTGTTCAAACACAATAAAGCATCCTGGAATTCACCTCGCAAAACATATCCGGTCCCTGTCTCGCCCAAAATAGCGTGTCTGTTTTAACGATCGACAAACAACCATAGACGCGTGACTCACGCAGGAGCCCGGGGGTGTTTGACGGCTTTTGTGAACAGCAGCGCTGACTGAAGAGCTGTTTGCTGTGCCCATGGCGGGGCGGGCCGGGGCAGGGGGGGGACAGCACCCCCTGGGTCTGACTCAGGATGGACCAACCTGCTAGATTCTCACAGACAGCTCCATCTCTTTCACACAGCCCGGCAGCCCAAAAAACTCCAAGCTCTGGTTCACGTCCCAGAGCTGCTTTGCAACAATACAAATACATGAAGGAGACGATGCCTGAAGCACTCTCACGTCGGCCTGTCCAGCACACGGTATGCTCTGCTGTCCACCCTCTGAAAGGTCATACACAGTATGCACTGCTGAACATTCGCTGCATCTCCACAATGTCATCTGTACTCATGAACTGATCATGGATAATAAAGTTGACATGTGGTTTCTCGCGAAAATCTGGCAGCCACCAGATGATTTCTGTGCCCTGAATCAATCCACTCCACCTAACTTCAGCTACCTTTGTACACCTCGTCCTACTGGACGTGGTGGTGGTCCTGCTGTCATTTATTTGAAAATCACTGAAGTTAATCTTACTACAGTTACATCTTTTGAACATCTTGCATTTAAATCACCCTGCTCTATTAATTTATTGTATGTATGTATTACTGTCCAGCAAAATATAACCCTACATTTCTCTCTGAACTTTACAAACTCCTTACTACCCCTTTCTCTCCTCACACCTGCTATTCTGTGGAGATGCTGTTATTCATGTTGATCAAGACTCTGCCACCACATCACACAGCATGTGTCATGCCCTACCCACAGCAAAAGCCACATTCACTTGGTATGTTCCTCTGCTTTGTCTATTTCTAACCCTCACTCCTCTATTTTCCTGCTCTCTGACCAGATTATCATCTTTTCTTTTTCACTACTTTTTGCTCGTCCGGCTGATAAATGGTGTATTTCATTTCGTAACACAAACTGTTGATTCATCCATATTGCCCCAAGATATTTCTGTTGCTCTATCCATGAAATGCCCCCCTTCCTCCCCCGACCTTGCCTCCATTCTCCCTGCAGTCTTAGATCCTCCTCTTCTGGCACTTCATGCTCCCTTCCAAACTTCACGGCTATGGTGACCATGCATTTTATTGTTTAGCTGCCCAACCTTGGAGCCTCGTTCCTACTGCCATTCATCAGTCAATCTTGGTCTCCGATTTCAAAATCAAGCTAAAATCCTTCTTGTTTGCTGAAATACATAACCTTCTCTATCCATAATATGTTTTCTTATCCGTTTATTCTATATAAGCGTCTTTGAGATCTTGAAAAGCGCTATAAATAAAACGTATTATTATTATTATTACAAATACATATGGACTTCTGTCAAATCAATTTCAGCCCAGGACACTGGGAGCGAGAACTGGGAATCTCTCTCTCTCCTCAGCCTTCGCATGTTCTCGAAGCCAGCTGGACCAGTCCCCAACCACAAGTCTGAACAAATCCCGATACACTGACCTCTGGTGGCCATTTAT